ATATATATATATATATATATATATATATATATCAACTTACCAACCAATATCCTAATTCTAAATTCTAAAAAATAAAAAAGAACAAAGAACAAATGGATAGAATGATCTTCACAAATCTCATCTATGTGAACAGTCTTTCCTAATAATGGAGTAAAATTGAAAGAGATATACAAACATAAGAATGCTAATTAGAGTGCATAATAAAACCAAAAAAGTAATTAATTTGAAGGAGCACTCTAAAAATAGTTATATTTTAAATTTGAATAGTAGTTATTTATCAAAGGATGGGTTCAAACTTCAAACCATCCTAATTTGGGTTCAAAAAGTATATTCTTTCATAAAAAATTTTAAATTTAAAAAACAAAAAAGATAAAAAAAAAAAGGAAAAAAATTGTTGAACTAACCCTTAGAGTGCCTTTAGCTGTATTTTTTTCTCTTACTCTTAATTAAAATTCTTTTGACTAATATAATTATTTGACTAAAGATATTAGTCCAGAGTCATAGGTAAAAATTCAGATATATACACTCTAAAAAGTATTTGTCTCATTTTTCCTTTTAAAAATCCTACTACAGCGTTTTCTATCACAAAATTTAAATTGTGTTTTAAATTCTGGCCTTGTTTGGTTCAACAACTCAAATTGTTGATTTGGTTTGAGTTATGGTGATTTTAATAGGGATTCGAACTGATGTTTAGATATGCAAATAAATTATAATTTAAATTGAGAATAAAATTAAAACTGTGTTTAGATAAAAGTGTTGAAAACTGTTATTAGAGTTTCGTAACAAATCTTATAAAATATCATTATAAAATACGCAATATGAGTAGAGATTTGTTCCTCTACTTATTATGAACATATAAGAAAAATATCATCTCAATTTGAATTAAAATAAAGAAATTATGATATTTAATCTTATAAAGTTGAAGAGAGAGATAAAATAAAAAATAATTACTCTTGAATTGTTGTTAACAATCCAGATAGTGAATTCTAAGGGAGGAGGGGGATATGAATTCTAAAATCAACCATTTGAACTTTAGTTGATAGTTTGAATGGTCCATTTTTCTTTCTAAAGCAAACACTAATTTCAATTCAAATTGAATTGTTTGGTTCAAATAGTTGAACCAAACATGGCGTACATGATTTGAACAGACCTTCTGAGGAGGCCCTAAACCCTTTTCTCCGTACGAAGCACTCCATTGGTGTAAGGTAATATATCACATGGAATATGTTTGCAATCCTTAAAAAAGAAAAACAAAGTTGAATAATTAACTATTTCTTTTTTTTTTTGCTTCAATTTTAAGCATTCCTTTTGTATAAGGTAATATCATATAATTCATATTACATATCCATTTAGTTCGTTGATTTGAGTTTTTAATTCGAGTTGAGATGTGATTTTATGTGAGAGCTTTTTACTGTAACAAAAAAAGTTAAAAATGATTATTTGTGAGAACTTTTTACTGTAGTAAAATTTAAATTTTAAACTCGACTCAGCGAAATGAACGGGGCTACTTAAGCCTCGTTCACTTCGCGGATTCGAGTTTTCAATTCGAGCTGAGATGTGACATTTTTTTAGAACTTTTTACTGTAGCATAAAAAGTTAAATGTGACATTTTCTAAGAGCTTTTTACTGTAGAAACCTAAAACTAAAAACTCGAATCGGTGAAATGAACGAAGCCTTAATTTTAATATTCTAAAGTATATTCTGTATGCGGTTGAAACTTGAAATTTTGAAATGGCGCAAGAGTATTGGTCCAAGAAGCATCAAAGAAGCAGCAGCCGCCCCCAGCATAACGTAAACCCTACAAAGCCAACTTTTTAAAGCGAAATTTCATCTCAAATTTATTTCCCAAGTAGATTATATTTAGAATTATATTTATAAATGCATCTTAAATATGTATCTTATTTTAAAATGTCACATAATTTTTTAAAACGGTTCAAAATATTTTAATTTATAAAAAACAGGTTAAATTATACCTTCTATCTATTTTTATGTTTCATTTGAATAGAAAATGCATACGTGGCAATAAAAATGAGTATTAAAAGTTAATTAAAGATATTTAACAAATAAAATCAGTTTTTTAAATATTAATAAAACAAAATAATGAAATTCAAAATTCTCTTCATCTTCATCAATGGTAGCCCATACTCCTAGTCTCCTACGCCAAACTCCCCAACAAAAAGCAACCACTTTCAGATCAAAGAAACCAAGACAACCCAACAAATTTCCATTACAAACAACTTCCTACGACAATTTTGCGGCGATTCAAATCAGAAAGAACGAAAATAAAATTAAAAAAAAAAAAGAGAAAAAGAAAGCTCTGAAAGTCACTTTCTGTTTTTTTTTTTTTTTAATGGAGGAACCCAAATTTCAGTCGAATCAAATCTCGTGTTACCAAGTCTCAATCTTTTCTTTATTGTAGACCGAATTCGGCAAATTTTCGGCCGAAGCAGTCGCCTTCTCCGTCAGTGAAGAAACCATCTACTTCGATTAAACTTTCTTCGATCTCATTCAAACATCTCCAAAACCCGGATCTGTAAAATTAAGATTCAATCTTATTCAAACACCGCCGCTCCTCCAAGGCCATCCGACCTCATTGTTGGGCAACCCACCCCACTCACCGCCACGGAACCTAAGCCAAGCCGACCCATCCCCTGCTTGCAACCCTCTGCTTCGCACCCCTCGCAACCCAGGTCCAACTTCCCTCCTCCTTTTGTAGCAGTCCCTTTCAATAACTAAGGCCGGTTTACTTCGGTGATTTAAATTTTTAATTTAAATTGATACGTGATTTTATGTAAATTTTTTTTATTATAATAAAAAAATTAAATATAATTATTTTTAAAAATTTTTTATTTTAATAAAATTTAAATTGATAAAATAAACAGGCCTAAACCCTACTTGTGCGATGATTCCCTCAAGCCTATGGATTATGGAACATACACATGGAGAAGAAGATGCTCTAGGGTTATATGTTTTTTTTTTTTTTATAAAATAAACAGGCCTAAACCCTACTTGTGCGATGATTCCCTCAAGCCTATGGATTATGGAACATACACATGGAGAAGAAGATGCTCTAGGGTTATATGTTTTTTTTTTTTTTTAGAATAGTCTGATCTGCTTTTTTTTTATTAGTCTTCAAAATATTATTTGTATTTTGTGTGTGTTTATTATTTTTAATAATTAATCTCTTTTTGTCAGTTTAATTTTAATTTTTAATGTTTTAATGAGTGACACAGTAAAAAGTTAAAATGATCCATGAAAGTGGATGAAGTGGTATTTTAAATGATTTTTTATATATCAGAGAGTATTTTAAATTGTTTTAAAAAATTAATAAACACTTTAAAAGAAGATACATACTTTAGGGGTCATTTTAATCCTTTTATTATTTATTTATTTTGAGAATAAGCAATAGTATATTTCCGATTCATAATAAAGCAGGAAAAAACACAAAAAAGGTAACCTTCTTACTTTAAAAAAAAAAAAAAAGAGTAACCTTCTATAAAAAAATCATGAGAAAAGGAAAAGTTAGATCAAATACAATAATAGAAGAGACTTGGTTGTAGTTCCTCACTATGTAAATGATGGACGTAACCGATTGAAAAATTAAAGTAATTATTTTATATTAAATCGTAATAATTATTATTTAAAAAATCAAAAGTTATTTATAAATATATAATAATAAATAACTATTATGTATTACTCTAGATAAATATTTTTACATAACACTTAATAGGATGTATCTAAAAAAAAGTGAAAAAATAAAATAGATAAATATCACATGATACGTTTAATCCATAAATTTAAAATTATATTTAATTTATGTGTATTTTTTTAAATAATTTAAAATTTAAATCATGCGAGGAATCCTCGTGCTTAACACTCTCATAATTATCGACTTGAGATTTCAGAGGAACCAATTTATTTATTTATTTTAAAAAAAAGACCTCTGAAACTTTCAAAAGCCGTTTCTCTGCTAGTCTCACCCCATACCAACCCCGTCACAAGTTTTTCCAAAAAAAAAAAAAAAAGTATATAAAAGAGAGAAGGAATTCCAAGACAATTTCTATTCCCTCTCTCTAGTCTCTCCCCCCCTCTTATTGCCACTATTTTTCTGAGACTTGCTCAGATCATCACACACCGTCTTCTGAAAGCATATTCGTTATAAAACAAAAAGATATTTTTCTTGTTGGCCCTAAGTTGTTGAGGTAATTCAGGTAAAAAAGAAAAAAAATTTATTTTTCTGTTCTTTATAATAAAAGTTTGATCTTCCCTTCTCTTCAGTGATCTGATCCCTATATATATATATATATATATATATATATATTTTTTTTTTTTTTTTTTTATGCTCAGTCAAGCAATTCTCGCCGGGCGGCGTCTTTCTCCGGCCGAAACCCTTTTCTCCGACGCCGAAATCTCTCCCCTCTTTACCCTCCCTCCGGCGGCTGACAGTCTCCGTCCAAAAGCCGTTGCATGTGTCGACGATCACGACAACATCCTCGTTATCTCCGAAGCCTACGAAGAGAAGCCTGATCGAATGCGGGGCGTACGAGGCCGACAGATCGAAGCCTATCGAGGAAATCGCGGCTCCCGAGGCGGCGGCGCGATCGGAGGCGGCGAAGAAGGTGAAGATCGGAGTCTACTTCGCGATGTGGTGGTCCCTTAACGTTGTGTTCAATATCTACAACAAGAAGGTTTTGAACGCTTACCCTTACCCATGGCTGACCTCGACTCTCTCGCTCGCCTGTGGGTCCCTCATCATGCTCATCTCGTGGGCGACCAGGATCGCCGAGGTGCCGAAAACTGATCTCGAGTTTTGGAAGGCTCTGTTCCCTGTAAGTGTGAATGACCCTGGGTTTTTGTTTGGTTGCTGGGAAAAAGTTTGGGAAAATGATGGAAAGTGAAGTTCTTTTAATGACTTCGATTTTGGGTGTTTCCTAGTGTGAGAAATATATATATATATATACATATATATATATGTTCTTTTGTTTGGCTGTAGTGAAATTGTTTTGTTTTGTGTTTTTGTGGTTCGTAATTGTGAAACAAAGGACTAGTCAACTAAGCATAATTTCTCTGAAATTTTGTGAGCTAAATTTGGGATTTAAGAGTGAGTTCTAACTGATAATTAAATCAATTTTTCTGGCCTGAAATTTTTATGGTGATTTTGTTTTATTCACTATTTTTTTTGGGTGTTTTCTGGTGTGGGAATAATGGAATTGGAAAAATGTCTTTTGTTTGGTTGCTGTAAAATGTCTTATTTTGTGTTTTCATGGTTCATAATTGTGAAAGAAAAGTCTCAAATTTGTGAGCTAAATTTGAGAAATTTCAATTTTTGTGATGGTTTTGTTTATGATAGGTGGCTGTGGCACATACAATTGGGCATGTGGCTGCCACTGTGAGTATGTCAAAGGTTGCAGTGTCGTTCACTCACATTATCAAGAGTGGAGAGCCTGCTTTTAGTGTTTTGGTTTCCAGGTTCTTGCTCGGTGATACCTTCCCGCCCGGGGTTTACTTGTCACTCATTCCGATCATCGGCGGTTGCTCTCTCGCTGCCTTGACCGAGCTCAACTTCAACATGATTGGTAACAAATTCTCCCTTTTTCCCAATGAAAGAACTCAATTTTATTTTCAGAACTTTTGTGAATGCAATGCAAATTCTGAGTGATGAGTAGTAAGCTAGTTGGTGGGATTTGGGCTTTAAATATAATTTTAATTGTTTTTGGCGTCGAGGCTTCAAAAATCTTAATTTGGGCTTTTTTTGTGCTGTGTTTTCTCAGGGTTTATGGGTGCCATGATATCAAACTTGGCATTCGTCTTCAGGAACATATTCTCAAAGAAGGGTATGAAGGGGAAGTCTGTCAGTGGAATGAACTACTATGCCTGTCTATCTATTTTGTCACTCATAATACTCACGCCCTTCGCCATTGCGGTTGAGGGACCACAAGCGTGGGCTGCTGGATGGGAAAAGGCCATTTCTCAAATTGGACCACAGTTGCTTTGGTAAAACTATGCAACAACAAACCCTGCATTGTTTCTTTTGTAGATTTGATAGTGTATTTTCATAATCAGAGTCAAATAGTTTGAAGGTTTTTATCATTTACACATGTTAATTGTCTTGGTATTGGTTAATTCTTATATAATATATTTATAGTGCTAGTTTGATTTTGTGGTAATTGACACAATATTATTGCAGAAAGCATGAGTCGAATTTCTTAATCAGTCTTGTGGTACACGTGTTTGTTGTCATTATTGTAACTAAGACACATTCTTTGATTTCCTTTGCCCTTTGTATAATATAGGTGGATGGCGGCACAAAGTGTGTTCTATCACCTCTACAACCAGGTTTCATACATGTCTCTGGATGAGATCTCTCCATTGACATTCAGCATTGGTAACACCATGAAACGTATATCCGTCATCGTCTCCTCCATCATCATCTTCCACACGCCAGTCCAGCCCATCAACGCTCTGGGAGCCGCCATTGCAATCCTCGGTACCTTCTTATATTCCCAGGTAAATTTCTTGGTTCTTTCCATGAATTCAGCCTGATTTCTTCTTCTTCTTTTTTTTTCATTTCCCTATAAACTGGCTGACAAACTGGATATATAGACAAAATCTATGTGCCTGCGTTTCTTTTGATGACTATTGTTTGTTAAAAGCTGACAACAAAAATTCTGAAAACGCTTCACCTGTTACCTTTTTATGGCTTCTTCTTCTGTATGGATTTGTTTTATATATCACGAGAACAACATAATAGTATTTGCTCTGCAACCTTAACAACCTTTGTTTTTTATGCACATTTTCTTACGTTTCACTCATCCAGCAGACATGAAAAATAGTTCACCGGGGGGACCCCACAGTTTTCCGTCCATTCCAACTGTTTTGTGTGATAATTATAAATATTGCTTAGAAGAATGCTTTTGGTAGAGTATGAAAAATACCCTACTGCTAAGATACGGTTCTAAACCATCAGATCACATTTCGATTCGCATCGGACCAAAAAAGTATAATAAAGATTTGATGATTCAGAATTGTACCCTACCTGTAGGTTATTTTTTTCGTACAAGATCTAATGGTTTAGAAAATTATATACTACTGGTAGGTTATTTTTTCCGTACAAGATCTAGTGGTTTAGAATCCTCCAAGACATGGCTCAAAAACCCCTGGAGCTTTTCTTAAACAAAAATTAGCGGGGTGATCATTGGGGAAAGTGCTAATGAGTTTTCGTCCTATTTGTGGGGTTGGTAAGGATTTGGAGAGGTGGGTTGATTTCCATTCAGGGTGATTCTTAGCTACCAATCTGGACATTTTTTTATCTCTGTGGTGTTAGGTGGTCTAAATAGTGCTCCTGTGGTTCAACTTTGAAAACCCACCTACTTTTTTTCCCCATCCCAATCCCATAGAAAACGACAAATAGTCGTATTGGAATATGCTTGGTTTCTACCTATAGTCGTATTGAAAACTCTTCCCCCACACACATATTGACGAGTTCTTAACAGTGGTTACGCATTAAATATAGAAATTTGATGATGTGTTGTGATCAGAAATCCAGTTATATTAGTCTATTAATTGTTATGATAAAATTTTTGGTCAACTACCAAGTTATCACAATCGGTTTGTCAATATATTTTGCTTTAAACTTACCCAAGCGTTTCCTTTTCTCCAGGCAAAGCAGTAGAAAGCTGAGACTGGGGAATATATATATATACATATATATTTTCTTCATCTGTATGATAAGCCATGGAAGTTATTACTGCTGAGCCAGAAGCAGTTGGTAGAGTTCAGTTTGCTTTTGGAATCCACAATTGCTGGATTTTTGGTTGGATGAACCAAGAGTCTTGAGTACTTGTAGATAACTACAATAATAATGAGAAGTGGGAACAACATTTCTGTTATTATACAAGCAATATTAGGCAGTTCTTTTTTTTTTTCTTTTTCTCTTTTTATTTTATTTTATTTTTTATCAAAATAAGGGGAAGGATAATGTCTGTGACCTTATCTGTTTTGAGAAGGCATAAAAATAGCAATGTGGGATCTTCTGGTTTTATTCTCTTTTTTATTGATTAGATTCTCTAATAAATATTTTAAAGAGCAAAGTCTTTATATGATGATCATTTTTACTTAAAATATTAAGCATCTTCTTTTAGCCTGAGTTGGCTTTTGTGGCTGCTCTTTCTCATGACATAGGACGTAATATCTACGTTTCATTTACTTCGGAGATTTAAATTTTTAATTTTTAATTTAAATTTAAAGGTAATTTTTTGTGAAATTTTTTAATTATAATAAAAAAAATTAAGGGTTCGTTTAGTTCGTTGATTCGAGTTTTTAATTTGAGTTGAGATGTAATTTTATGTGAGAGTTTTTTACTGTAGTAAAAAAATTAGATGTGACTGTTTCTGAGAATTTTTTACTGTAATAAAATTTAAATTCTAAATTCGAATCGGTGAAATGAACGGGACTTAAATATAATTTTTTATGAAAATTTTTAATTATAATAAAATTAAAATTTAAAATTTAAATCACTAAAATAAATAAGAATTAAAATCTAGATTTTAGTACTTTTAAATAGTCAAGGACGTAACCATTGACTCAACTTTTGTTGATAGCGAATTAAAATCGTACTTTTAAATAGTCAAATGTATTATGCATGGCACAAAAAAAATCTAGATTTTAGTATCTGACACGTTGGCATCTTTATAAAGGTGACAAAATATCACACGACATATGTGTTTAGATATGGTTGTACGTTATTTTTTTTATTTTATAGAGCATTGGTATTATCTACTGAGTTTTTAATTTTGATGATATTAGTTATTTAATTTGATATAATATTGAATTAGGTTTCCAAATCGATGAAAAATTTGGAATTAATGGTTATAAATGTGACAAGATATTTTGGCATCTTTTAAATTTTAAAATTCTGCATTTAAATGGACTAATGCGATGTATATGAGAGCTATTGTCATCAATTCTGCGAACTTTGTGAGACCAGTAACACTAGTAGTTCATGGGTAATTTGTTAACATAAAAATTCAGATTAATTTTAAAATTTCTCCACTGAAATTTGTCCTCTTTGTCAATACGTCCCCAAATTATTAACTGCCTATATGACTGAAAAGAATGAAAATGAAAAGATAAAATGATAAAAAATAGTGAGGGAGTAGTCAAGAAAAAGTTTAAGAGGTATATGGACTATCCCTAATAACCAATAAAAAAAAATCCCTAAATAACTTAACAAAAAGAAAGAAAAAATTTCTAAATAAATAAACAATTTGGGCTGCATTCTCCTTTCAAAAAATAAAAAAAAATAAAAAATAAAAATTGGGCTGCATGCTTCACTCCTTGAGTCGATTTTGATCTTTTTTTTTCGTCTTTTTTTTTTTTCTTTTTTTCTTTTTTTTTGTGTTACTCATAGGGGACCTCTTATGAGTCATGAGGTTATTTTCCTAGATAAAAAAGCATTTTTTTTATACAATGAGAGGGGGAAATGTCATTATTTTTAAGTGGGTTCAGGATGACTCGAACCCTCAACGTATGGTTAGAGTGGAGGGACTTACAACTAACTAGACTGTTTTTCATTAAGAATGAAGGATATTGGTTGGCTTCCTTGACCTTTTCCCTAATTTTTTTTTTCCATTTTCATGAAGTCGAGATTGGCTTGGGGGGTGGCCGTGGCCGTGGCCGTGGTGGTGGTGGTGGTGGTGGTGGTGGTGGTGGTGAAGTTCAAAATAAGCAAATGAACCTTTTGATTCGACTAGTATATAACAATGAAAAGTTTCGACCATGAGTTGGTGATCATGAATATTCATGCCTTGGACTTTAAAAGAAGTTCGAGAATGTTGGATTTTAGTTTTTACCATCGGTGAATTTCTTTCTACTGTTTAAATTACCTTTCCATTCTTCATCTATTTGTTATTTTTGTCTATTACTGATTACCTATTAGAGAACTTTATAGTACGAAATTAAAAAGTACTCTGTTAGTATAACATTTTTAACGATAGATTATTATTAAAATTATAAGAATAGTCTCTAATTAGACACTTAAAATTAAATCTGACCGATCAACACTTTTAAGTATTATTATTAAATTTGTAATTGAAGGCTCTCATTGAAAAAAAAAAAAAAAAAAAAAAAAAAGAACAGGGGTAAGCTAATTTTGTAGGTCGAATAAAAATAATATTAAAAAATTCTTGAAAGAATCTAAAATAATGTAAAAGTAGAAAATAAAAAATAATTTTCTAAATGGACGGAAAACGCACGTCCTTGTTTTGGACTTGTACTAAGGTTTTTGTTTCTAACTCTGAAAAATTTAGAGTTTGTTTCAATCTGTTATTTGGGTTTCGACCTCTCGATAAAAACCTTTGTATTTCTATGGCGAGAATGTGATTAAGCGTACTAGAGGAATTTCTATTGGCTCTGCATTCAAACTTGATTTTGAAATTATCAAACGTCGTATTTGTGAGCGCTTCGTTCGGAACGAGGGGCGGCCGATTTACACGATGCAGAGTTGCGCATTGTCGTAAATTCATAGTACTGGCAGGCGATTCTCTAGTAAGTACCTCTAATCACAAAAGAATTATCTTGTAATTACCTATTTGTTTAACAACGCAACCACTACCTAAATCTAATAAGTATATAGCATACATTTTAAAATTATGATACACCTGTTATTCATTGTCATAATACCAAGCGACAATATAATACAATCTTAGCACGTTCACAATTCAAGCAATGTACATACGGATACGTCATTTGTTCACTTGTTTCAAGTAAATGATACATGTTTGAAATAAAAAGATACATTGTCACTGTTGTTAGACATTTCCTTTGGTAGTTTTACATATTAATCCTATTTTAAACATGGTTTATTACGGCCCCGTTCATTTCACTGATTCAAATTTTATTATAGTAAAAAATCTCTCAAAAACAATGACATTTAATTTTTTTACTATAATAAAAAGCTCTTATATAAAGTTATATCTCAACTTAAATTAAAAATTCAAATCAACAAATTAAACACGGCTACCTACCGCTTCATTGAATAAGATACACTTTTCTCCAACATCTCAAGCTGTAGGTAACTCATAAAAGCCAACCTCTCAAATTGAACAAATGATGAACACGTGGCTCCCATTCCTTAAACAATAAAACCTTTAAAGTCTCAAAATAGGTGTCACTTTAATACGGTACCAAATTAAGACTAAACTTAAAATCATATTAGATTAAAAAAAATACATAACAAATTAAAAAAAAAAAACTTGATAAAAATTTGATGGTTAAAATTATAGAGTTAAATTCATGGATAGTTTCTGACTTTTGTCTCTTTCTACAATTAGTCTATGTAGTCAATTTTTCTTATGAATAGTCTCTAAAGTTTAAAAGTGTCTTATAAATGATCCCTTGTTAAATTTTAGATAGAAACCATTAACTATCTCATAAAAAGTCCTTAAATTATCTTCTCTCTATTAAATTTAATTCCTAAACTTAAAAAAAATATTATCTTAAAAATTATGAAATAAAAAAAAGAACTAAAAAATTAAAAAAGTCAAATAAAAAATAAAAAAATGAAAATCTCTAAAAAACAACAACAAACTTCTCCACTAATTATATGAATCTAAAAAAATTAAATTTAAAAGTTCAACAACACATAAATTTCTCCTTAGTACAAAAACACACAAAATATTCAAAGAGCAACAAAGGCAAGTCCAGATCTACAGTAAGCATCCATGCCTTGAGCATCAGTCGAACTGCCGTCAATGAAGCCGAAAAGTGTCATTCCAATATGTGAAACCCTCTTGAGTTCGAATCTAAAAGCCTCGCCGAAGTCGAATGAGGCTGGAGAGTGAAGGAGCAGCGGCGATGGGTCGTGTGTGTGTGACAAGGGTAGGGAAGGGAAGCAACGGAGGTGACGAGCAGATGGTAGGGGGAGGAGGGGCTGACAAGCACGAGGATTTAAAAATTTTGGGTTTTTATTTTTCTAGATCTTAGGGGGAAAAAAAAAAAAAAAATATATATAGGTTAGTGGGTTTTGAAGCTTTGAGAAAGATTTGCAATTTTGATTTCTATTATAGTTATTGTTTCTCTTTAACATAGAAATTATTTTTAAAGAGAGAAAATAGTTGGGTAATTTTTACAAATATTCCTTAACATAGTACCATTATGAATTTTTAGATCTCAACATTAACTTATTGAATTTTGTCCATTTAGAGTAAGTAATTTGATAAATTATTATCAAAATGGTAGCCTATCACAATAAAAATGTAGAACTCCATAATGATGTGTTTAAGGGTCAGTTTTTATAATTTTCTCAAAATAGTTTAGAGACCTTTTATGAGACAAAATTAAAGTTTTCCATTTAAAATTTAATATAGAGATTATTTATGAAATACTTTTAGAGTTTAGAAACTGTTTATAAGAAAAATTAACTATAAGAATTAATTGTAAAAAGAGAAAAAAAGTTGAAGAACTATCTATGAATTTAACTCAAAATTATATTATACCGGTAAGTATTTCTCATAACCTATCAAAACATTATGCGTATTTAACTGTTTATTTTGTTTGAAATAATAAAAAATCATTATTCGGTCAATCATTTGTCGTCCTCACTGCATAAGAAAAGCAGCAATTAACGTATTAAAACGATGTTTGCTTCTTACTCAGAGAGAGAGAGAGAGAGAGAGTGAGAGATTCTGTTTTGAGAGTGTAAAATATCCATTCGGCATCACGAAGAGTTAAAGTTCTGTTTAGTTTACTGATTCGAATTTTTAATTTAAATTGAGATGTAATTTTTTGTGAGAATTTTTATTATAATAAAAAAATTAAATATGATTATTTTTAAAAGTTTTTTATTTTAATAAAACTCAAATTCTAAACTCAAATAAGTGAAATGAATAAAATCTTAATTCTTTCTTGTTTCTCTCCTCTTCTACCGAAGACCCAATTATCTATTATCTATTACCTATTACTAAAGGAGAATCCTTAATTAAATAGTGTTCTCAAGGAGCTTCCTCGTAGTGACAGCTTCTTCCCTCTCTTTCTTTAGTTTTTTCTTTTTACTTTTTTCCATCTTTACTTTTATAAATGTTTTTTTTTTTTTTTTAGTTTCTCTTTTAGGCCATTCTATTAGTAAGTATCAGTTTCATTTATTATTGATTTGATTAAAATCATATCATATTAAAAAAATATACATAATAAATAGATTTTAATATAAATTTAACAGTTTAAATTAAAAAATTAGCGGTGATTTATTTTTTTAGGACCTACCAGAAAAACTTTTTTTTTATAAATATTTTTTTACAGTTTAAATTTTTACATGTTTTTTAAAATATATTTTTTCACACTATTGTCTATCTTTAGGGGGAGGCGAAACATTTCGCACATATCTCCCCCCACAGTAACTCAAAAAAAAGTTTTTTTTTTCCTGTTTTTTTCTTGTTTTTTTCCTCACATCTTTCTTCCCTCTTTTTTTTTCCCTCTACAATACATTCTTTTTTTCTCTTTCTCAAATGTGATCCCCATAAATATTTTTTCCCTCTAATTGTCTCATTAAAATAATTTCCTCTCATATATATCCTAATGAAATCTATTTTTTACTAAATGACCATCTCAAATGCTTTTCTTTTTGTTGTATATGCCCAATATTTTTTTGCTTTCTTTTCCCCATTTTTCTTCTTCCCCCTTATTTCTTTCTTACCTACCTTTTTTCCCTCTACAATACATTCTTTTTTTCTTCTTTCTCAAATGTGACCCTCATAGATATTTTTTTTCTCTAATTGTTCCATTGAATAATTTCTTCTCATATATGTCTTAATCAAAACTTTTTTTTGATGTAATAACCCTCTCAAATACTTTTTTGACTATATATATCAATAAATAATATTTTATATCTTGTTCTAAAATGTGTCTTTACAAACACATTTCCTCCGTACGTACTACTAAATATTTTTTTGACTAATTCACCCCGTTAAGAACTTTTTTCCCTTTTAATGTTGCTCTATTTAACATTTTTTCTACTGGATTTAATCGTTAAGAAAACAACGATAAAAAATCTATAAAAATATTCACCAAAAAAAAAAAAAAAAAAAGATCTCCATATTAAAAAAAAGTGTTGAATACGCCAGCGCAGAACGCGTGATTACGACTAGTAAAGAAGAAAAGGGAAAGTTCTTTTGGATTCAACCGTCCATTAGAAAATACTTTTTCAGTTTTTCTTATGTACCTTTTCCTTTATGTTTGTTTTATCGACAATTTTACTAAAAAGAAAGTAATATGACCAAAACAAGAAATATCCATAGAAAAATAAATCGACAGGAACTGACATTTAATAATGTGCAAAGGAAAATCTATGAACCGATACTGTCATCTCCAACCCGTAAGATCAACCAACCGCATTTTTGGGTCACAGGCCTGTCCATAGAACGCTTTAAGCCGTCCAGGCGTCCACTTTCAGGTTGGGCAGTAAAAGGTCGTTGTCAAGGTTGTGATCGGAGAAGGACAACCACTTACTTAAAACCAAGTGTCAAAAAACTAATCAATAGAAACAGAGTCAAAAAGCTAATCAATAAAACAAAAAACTAATCAATAGAACAAAAAACTAATCAATAGAAACAGAGTCAAAATCAATTTCTTTTCAAGAGTATCAAATGTCCATTCAGCAACATTGTAATTCTTACTTCTGTTTTTTTCCTCTCTAAATTACCAAAAGATCGACTGTAAAGACGAAAACGAAGACGACAATAACAATGCTCTTCCTGTTTCAGGATAAAAGTATTTCCGTGTCCAAATTTATAATTTCAAAAGGAAAATTCTCTATAACCATATCTTGATTGTTGAATTCATCAAACAGCTCTCTAGTAGGCCCACCAAAAGAAATTATATATACCCATCTTCTTTGTCAGATAAATAGAATAACCAACCGGATTTTCCAAATAAAAATCTTGTCATGTTTGCTAAAACACTTGGCACCGCAAACATTGGTTTTGGCGATCATGAAGTATAAAATTCCAACGAAAACTTTGGTCCAAAGAGAGACATGAATGTCCCCACTGCGATTACAAACACAGTCTACAAGACAACTAGAAAGACATTTCCCAAAAGAACAAGGAAACAACAAAGATTCTAATTAAAATTTTTGTTCACTAGCTGGTGCATGTAAAAAGCGGGATCTAAAGCAGACAAAAAAACTTGAACTAACAACATTCCTATTTTCTTGATTATTATTATTTTTCGTTTCATTTTCACCCAAAGAGGACTAAGAACACTCTTAAGTAAAAATGACCCTTGGGTTTAAATCACGGAACCATTAAACCTGCAAATACTTGATAGCGGTCTGAACATCCTTGTCCCCTCTGCCGCTGCAATTAAGTACGACCTTGGTTCCATTTGGGAGAGTTGGGCAGAGCTTTTCCAAGTAAGCCAGTGCATGAGAGGTCTCCAAAGCTGGGATGATGCCCTCTAATCGAGATAGCCTCTTAAAAGCTGCACATACAAAAGAATCATGTTGGACAACAATGAAAGGTGAAGAGAAGGAACGATTTGGACAGAACTACGTTGCAAACTCGTTATTTTGGGATGTATCATGCAGCCTGTTTTCTAGCAATTAGATGACAGTTAAATTGATCTGAACTGTTGCAAGTATTCGTTATCAGGTCCCGTTTGCCAAAAAGCAGTCGAATCAATCAGGTCCCATATGCCTAAAGCAGTCCACCTTTAACGGTTCAGATTGATTTAAACGTCATCCAATGACTGAACAACAGGCTGCATGATACATCCAAAATAATGGTTTGTACTATAATTATTTCCGGAAAGAGAAAAGGAGAAGAAAAATACCAATCTAAAATGGTAAAACGCTAGGCTACTAGTTTACCAGAAAAAATTATAACAACAGGCTGCATGATACATCCAAAATAATGGTTTGTACTATAATTATTTCCGGAAAGAGAAAAGGAGAAGAAAAATACCAATCTAAAATGGTAAAACGCTAGGCTACTAGTTTACCAGAAAAAAGTATAACAACAGGCTGCATGATACCTCCAAAATAATGGTTTGTACTATAATTATTTCCGGAAAGAGAAAAGGAGAAGAAAAATACCAATCTAAAATGGTAAAACGCTAGGCTACTAGTTTACCAGAAAAAATTATAACAACAGGCTGCATGATACATCCAAAATAATGGTTTGTACTATAATTATTTCCGGAAAGAGAAAAGGGGAAAAAAAATACCAATCTAAAATGGTAAAACGCTAGACTACTAGTTTACCAGAAAAAATTATAACAACAGGCTGCATGATACATCCAAAATAATGGTTTGTACTATAATTATTTCCGGAAAGAGAAAAGGGGAAAAAAAATACCAATCTAAAATGGTAAAACGCTAGACTACTAGTTTACCAGAAAAAATTATAATAACGTATAAATCCAGGGGTGTTAAAGGGCGACTAATACAAACATTATAGCACATAATTTTTATATTTAATCTCTTAGAGGCAAACGATGTTCAGAACCAGTTTCTTTACCTTCCAATGCTTCATCATCAGTAACACTATAATACTCGGCACGTCCTGTATCCTTGAGAAAACTGTGCTCAGGTCCTACGCCAGGGTAATCCAAACTAATGCCACAAGAATTTCATGAAATCAGAAAAGTCTAGAGCGACTCAGAAATCATGTAAAATAACAGCGGCAAAAAGAATATTAAACGCCATACCCTGCACTAATAGAATGAGGCTCAATAATCTGTCCATCATCATCCTGTAGTAGGTAGCTCATAGCTCCATGCAACACGCCAACTTCTCCTTTAGTCAATGTTGCAGCATGCTTACCACTATCCAATCCATAACCAGCAGCCTCAACACCAATCAACCTAACATCTTTGTCGTCGACAAATTCATGGAATAGTCCCATGGCATTTGAACCCCCACCAACACATGCAACTAGAACATCGGGTTTTCCACCCCATTTCTCCAGTGCTTGTTTTCTTGTTTCTTTACCAATAACCTTATGGAATTCTCTTACCATCATGGGATATGGATGTGGCCCTGCAACAGAACCCAAAATATAGTGGGTTGTCTCTACATTGGTCACCCAATCCCTAATAGCTTCAGATGTGGCATCCTTCAATGTAGCTGTCCCAGAATGGACTGGCCTAACCTGTATCAAGAGAAGCTTAATTGAAAATTTGAAAATATACGGTATTTGCAAAAGAAATGAATCTTGGATTGCAGAAACAGAATGGTCATGCTGAAAGTAGTTTGGCTCTTTATGCGAGATTAACTTTCTCAAGAAACAAAAGGCAATAGCGTTGTCATTAACATGCAGTTATTTTCCTGATTCAATAAGTTTGCATTGACTAGTACATAAAAGGGTGCCAATAGGTATGAAAGGGATGGAAATTCAGATTTGAAAAAGTAAAAAAGATAATCAGATATTTACTCAAATGAAAAACAATAACTTCTGTATCATAGTCAAGAAAACAGACGTCTTTCTTTTACAAATTATTTGAAAGATGTTAAAATTAGATATTTTGTTTAGCGAGAAGATGAACTACTGCAAGGATTGGGTACAAAAGAACATCATCTTATGATTAAACAGATTGCAGAATATAAGAATAAAGAAAAAAATATTACTAAAACGTCCAAGATTTTAGGTATTCCAAAAAGAGAAAAGAAGACTAAAGGAAAAAGGGGAGCGGGGAAATCTAATTTCAACACACATTACAGGCAACATAGCTAGGTATCCAATTGAGGGGGGAAAAAAGCACGATCATCTGAGAGGACCAGTTGTTAGAATGTTGAAAGCATAAATGTAGGATACCTCAACTAAAAACCTAAACACTGAACATGTTAGGAGAAACAAACTGAAAGACCTAACCATCAAGAACAAACCTCAGCCCCAAGGAGCTGCATTCGAAAAACATTAAGGGCCTGCCTCTCCATATCTTGAGCACCCATATAGATGATACACTGCAAACCAAACCGAGCACAGACAGTAGCAGTGGCAACTCCATGCTGACCCGCTCCGGTTTCAGCAATAATACGTTGTTTGCCCAGACGCTTAGCAAGCAAAGCTTGGGCAACAGCATTATTGATTTTGTGAGCCCCAGTGTGATTGAGATCTTCCCTCTTCAAGTAAATGTGTGGCCCTTCACCATCAGGACGTTTGTAATGCTCGGTCAGCCGCTCCGCGAAATAGAGAGGACTCTCCCGACCAACGTAGTCCTTCAAAATCCCATCTAGCTCTCTCTGCAGCATCAAATTTTATCCTATAAATCACTGATGATGAGATATTATATATCATTGTTCAGATTAAGGCAACCGAAATTAGCATATGAATATGCATTTCAAGGGTTTTGTCAACAAGAACCTATTCAGTCATTGAGAATACAAACTCATTTCATTATAGAAATGGAAATTCCTAATCCTGCCAAATGGACTCTGCGAATAAAAATGTGAAATTGAACAAAGAGCAGACGGAGAAGATGAAGCTGAAACAACAATAGCCTTGGTCAAAATGCTAGAACTGAAAAAATATTGTGTATACCAAATCCACGACTTCAATAAGAGCATTTCCAATGCAATGCTATAATTGATGTGCTAATTGTAAATTTAGCATTTGAGTATAAGAAACCACTCTCCAATGCAATGCTATTTGTTGTGCCAAATTTCCTACCAAGTATAGCATATGGGAAATTTGACATTTGATTATTATTGGTTGAAATATTTACTTTTTCATATAATCATTGCAACTTTTGCATTTTTTAATTATTATAAAAATAAAAGTTTACTTTTACAACTTTCAAAACTTAATGATTACGGTAAAAAGTAGATTTACCATTTAAAATAGCATTATGCATTGGAGCAAAAATAAAAATAATATACCATATCATACTTTTTAATGCAATATACAATTAGCATTAGCAATTGCATTAGAGATGGTCTAAGATCATCGTTTTAAACTTTTATACAAATATATTGAATGGGTATCTCAATGGCTCTATTCGCGATAATCCTATTCTATTATTTCTTGAGATTATAATTCCATTTCACTAGACCGAATTTCAACGAATTAGATTCACAAGAATCATTATTAAGAATCCAAAATGTGAAATTGATACAGAAAACAAATGCAGAAAAATGAAGCTGAAATGAAACACCAATACGCCTGGTCGAACGGATAATCCCAAAAGCCACGACATTATCACAAATTTACAATCTTCCATTCCAAAGCAAATCACTTTCCTCTACCAATAAAATCCTAAACCATAGAAACCTCCTTCGTCCCCAATTTCTCCCAAAAGAATCAATCAATAAGCCAAACACATCAAATATTTCACATACAAAAAACAATCCACATTCACATGAAATCAAAAATCCAAAGAAAAAGAATCGGGAGAAAAGAAAAGAAATGAAATGACCTCGAAGTCGGGGTCTCCGGCGAGGGAACGGAAGGCGGTCTCGAGCTCGGAGAGGGCGTACATGAGAGTCTCGGGGACGTACTTGCCTCCGTACTTCCCGAACCTCCCGAAGGAGTCGGGCCGGGGGAGATCGAGACTCGGCGGCGCCTCCTGCATTACGACGGCGGCGGCGGCGTCGTGGGCGAGGGTGCAGAAGACGGTGGCGGCGGCGGTGGCACGGGACGTAAATTTGCGGAACTTGAGGGGCAAATGGGAGGGGAAAGAAGAGGAATTGTAGGGTTTGGGGAGACTAGGGGAGTGGTGTTTGCAAGGAGTGGAGGAACAACATGTAGAGGCAGCCATAGTATAGTTAGAGAAAGAAAGTGAGGAGAGAGAGAGAAAGAAATGGTTGAACTTTTTGGTGGGTTTTCGTAATAATAGTTTATAGTATTTATATATGAATATAATTTATATGTAAGAAGACGTGGGAAAGAGGTTGGTGGGGGATGAACGTGGATTATTTTTCCTTTTGCCAACTGGGATAACGTGGACCCCACCCTGTATTTGATGTTGGATTTTACTTGCCAAACATGTAAAAGAAAGAAAAAGGAATAGAATTTTTTCTTTTTTTGTTGGTGAAAAAAAAAAGGAAGAGAAAATTGATGGATGATAAATAGGGCCGGTAATATGGGTCACGACACGACGACATGACTCAAAAATGACACGAATTTTACAGGTTAGGGTTGAGAAAAAAGAAGTTCAGGTCAAAATTGGGTCGACCTGAAATTGACACGAAAAATACAGGTCAATTTCGGGTTGGACCCGCCTAACCCGAACACGACACGAAACTCGTAAAAAACTAAAAAATACATATATTTTTCATTTAATATTTTAAATTTTATTATGAACTTGTGATATCATGATAGTTATACTCAAAATCTTATACTATTATTTGATTAATTTCAATGGATGTTATTGTAATTTAGTGTGTTATGAATTTTAAGTTATTTCTAATATGTAAAAAACTAAATAAAAGTATACAATTTTCGTGTCAATTTCGGGTTCACAGGTCAATTTCGTGTCACGGGTCGTGTTCGGATTGACTGTAAATTTTTAAAAAAATGATCAAAATACGACACGAACACGACACATGACACGAATTGCTAAACAACACGAAGAGAAGATGAGGATGAAGGACAGTTGTACATATGGGCTGGATCATATAAGTCGGCCTGTTGTCCACCATTTCGGCCTGGTATCTAGTCAGGCCCGTCTCACATAAGAATTCAAGGGCGGATCCGACCCCACACCTAAGGGGCGGCGACAACAACAACAACAACAAATTAAGAAAATGGTTGAACTGTTACAGTACATGAGTAGATTTTTATATTTTATTCTTTATTAATACCCTTTTAATTAATATAATTATTTAATTAAAAAATATATTAATAAAAAATAATAATTAGAATTTATACTTTAAAGATATTTATCTCTTTTTCGCGCCTTATTAGGTCGGGTCCGTATCTTTTTCTTTGCTTATTGGGTGGTTCATAACTTCATATTGACAGCGCTGGTTTGAAGTGGCCATATTAAATTTAGAAATCTAAGAATTTTTTGCAAAACAAACACTTTAACATGTAACTTAAAAATAAAAAAGAAAAAAAATGTGCATGTAATACAGTATCACAAATCTATCAAGTAGAACTCACCCTCCCTTTAATCTAGCCTCCAATACAACCACTTCGACTTGAACACGTAAAACTCACGCTAGCAAATTGGTGTGCAAAGGGAGGGGATTTAAAAGCTTATAAACTCGCTAATTATCTTTATACTGTGGACTTGGAATGGCATACATGATCATACACCGCCGTGACAAAAGGATGCATACGGAAATTTTCTTTTAAAATAAGAGACTGTTATAATTCTTGGTAGAACTCATCTCTAAAAATTAACTTGTAAGGAAAGA